TAGCTCTGAAGTGAGTCTTTTTTAGGAAGCATATAGATGAGTGTTGTTTTTTTTTTTTTTAAATCCATTTAGTCATCTTATTTTTTTTTTAATTGGAGCATGTAGTTCATTTAAATTTAAAGTAATTATTGATAGGTATACACTGATTGCCATTCTCTTAATTGCTTTCTGGTTGCTTTTGTAGTTCTCTGTTCCTTTCTGTGTTGTTCTCTTTCCTTGTGGTTTGATAATTACTTTTTAGTGTTATGTTGGTATTTCTCTCTCTTTATTTTTTGTGTATTTATTACAGGTTTTTGGCTTGTGGGTACCATTAGGTTCATATAGAACATCCTAAGTATTCTGCAGTCTATTTTAAGTTGAAGGTAATTTAACTTGGAACATACTGTAAAAACACTACATTTTTTACCTTCATCCCCATATTTTATACATTTGATGTGATATTTTACACCTTTTTATTTTGTGTATCCCTTAACTAATTAATATAGATATACCTGACTTAACTACTCTTGTCTTTTAACCTTCATACTAGCTTTATATGTGATTGATTTACTACCTTTACCATATGTTTGCTCTTACCAGTGAAATTTTTTATTTCTTAATTCTTTCTTAGTTCTTCTCTGGCCTCTTTTCTACTTAAAGCAGTCCCTTTAACAATTATTATAAGATTGGTTTACTGAAAATGAACTCCTTTAACTTTTGAGAAACTATATTTCCTTCAATTCTGAACGACAGCCTTGCTGGGTAGAGTGCTGCTGGTTGTAGTGTATTTCCTTGCAGCACTTTGAATATCATGCCACTCTCATCTGGCCTGCAAAATTTTTTTTTTTTTAAAGATTTTATTTATTTATTTGACAGGCAGAGATCACAAGTAGGCAGACAGGCAGGCAGAGAGAGAGGAAGGGAAGCAGGCTCCCTGCTGAGCAGAGAGCCCGATGCGGGGCTCAATCCCAGGACCCTGAGATCATGACCTGAGCCGAAGGCAGAGGCTTAAACCACTGAGCCACCCAGGCGCCCCTGGCCTGCAAAATTTTTACTGAAAAATTAGCTGACAGTCTTATGGGTGGTAACTTGTATGTAACTAGTTGCTTTTCTCTTGGTACATTTAATATTTTACCTTTTTAAAAGTTTTTGATATTTTAATTATTGATATCTTAGAATAGACCTCTTTGACTACATACTTACAGGGGTTCCCTATATTTCCTGGATCTGGTTATCTGTTTCCCTCCACAGGTTTGGGAAGTTTTCAGCTATTATTTCTTCAAATAATTTTTCTGGCCTCTTCTCTCTTTTTTCTTCTGAAATCCATATTCCAGAAATCCCTTATCCTATCCTTATTTTTTAAATTCTTTTTTCATTTTGTTGTTCAGTTTGGATGACTTCCACTACACTGTCTTTCAGATTGTTCCTCCATTCTTTTAAATCCTCTAATCTGCTGTTCTCTCTAGTGTATTTTTCATTTTAGTTACTGTATTTTTTCAGCTCTGATTGGTTCCTTTTTATACTGTCTATCTCTTTTTTGAAGCTCTCATTGTATTTATCCATTCTTCTCCTGAGTTCAGTGAGCTCCTTTATAACCATTACTTTGAATTCTTTATTAGGTAGATTGCTTATCTCCATTTTACTTAGTTCTTTTTCTGAGGTTTTGTCTTGTTCTCTCATTTGGAACATATTCTTCTGTTTCCTCATTTTGCCTGGCTCTGCACTTGTTTCTGTGTGGCATTTTGTGGGGCATAGGATGCAATACTTCTGGTCATCAGATCTAGGCACTTCAGGGTTGTTCCTTGTGTGGACTCTGTGTGGTCCCCAGTGGTTGGCTGAGAGTCCCAGCTGCAGCTGCTGTGGGTGTGCTGGTGAATGAGTTTAGTCCCTGGTGTGGCTGGTTGGAAGGCCTGCTGGCAACTGTTGTGGATGTGCTTGTGGGTAAGGCTCTTTCCTCCCTCTCTGGGGCAGGAGTTGCTTTGGGGAGCCCTGGACCTGGCCAAGACTGTCCACCATGTACAGCAGAGTGGGAACCACTTTGGAAGAGCACCTGGCAGGGTAGGTGGGTTTGAGCAGTGCAGCCACAAGAACATTCGGGTGGGTCACTCAGTGCTTTCAAGGTAGATAGAGAATGTTCTGAATGAGCATGGGCTAACTAGCTTGAAGGAGGATAAGAAAAATTGTGCCTGCCAGCACTTCGGTTCCCAGAGGCAGTTCCTATAGATCCCTGCCCCTCCAGTACATGCCCTAAAAGTAGTCAGTAAATCTCCTTCATGTATGGCCCTGGTGCTTTTCAAACTGCTGCCTCTATGCTGGCTCCCAGAGTGAGTGGGATTGTGCTCAGGCCATGAAGAACAATGTCAGTTTTCTGTAGCCCTCTGGCTCTCCTGAAGCTAAGCCCTAGTGATTTTTAAAGATCCTAGATTTAAGTCCTACTGATTTTCAAAGCTAGATATTATGGAGGCTTACCTTTCTGGTGTATATCCTTGAAGGGTGGAGGTGGTCAATGTGGGCTTCTCTCACTCTTCAGGAAGGACCTGTTACATCTCTCTCATTTGTGGGTTGCCATGCTGGGGATTTTGGGTCCCATCCAGAATACCTCTCTGTCCCTACCCTTCTTGATGTGGCTTTTTCTTTGTATCTTGAGCTGTGTTAAAGTTGTTCTGATAGTTCTCACGTTCTTCTCAGAGAGAGTTGCTCTGTATGTAGCTGTAGTCTTTGTGTGTCCATTGGAGGAGGTATGCTCAGGATCTTTCCATCCTGTCATCTTGATCCCCTTCCTCTGCATTTGCTAAACTACATTTTCTATACTCTCTAGCTGCTATGGTTATGAGTAGAAGGTTGGTTTAGAAACAAATGCACTCACATAGACTTTGTAGTGCAAACTGAATCACATGGTGAGACAGGTACAGCACAGGGCACACATTTGTCTGTTGTACATTGTGGCAGGACTGTTTTCTGGAAACTATGATGGTAGCAGCAGTTCCTTGATTCAGCAGGCAGCTTCCTAGTCATAATGATAAAGGCATCAATTCCTCTGGTAGCCAAATTCTGCTCTGTCATTATGGAAGGAGTTCATGAAAAGTACAGCCTGAAGTATCTTTCCTTAGCCCTCTCAACAATCCACAGCTACTTATGCATCCTTTCTGTTTAAAATGGCTGGAGTGAATGTTGTTATCTACTCAAAGAATACCAAGTAATAGTTTCCTTGTCTTCGTCTTTAAACAACTATACTAACATCTAGATTGGGAAAATTCATGTAAAGCATATTAATGCATTATTACCTGTCAAGAGTAGTTATGTTGTATTCTTCTTATTATTATTCTCAAGTGATTTTATAATCAAAATACCTATGTTTGAATTATGGCTTTAAAATATGTTGTTTCTGCAATCTTGGTCAAGTTGCTTAACCACTCTAAGGTTTGATTTCTTTATCTATATACTAGGTAAAAAGTACAACTACTTCATGGAGATTTATGAAGATTAAATGAGAATATGTAAATAAAATTTTTTTGTCAGAACTTTATTTTCTACACAAATAATCTCATTTGATCAAAGTCATTTCCCACACTGCTTCCTGTTTTTAAACTCCATGACCTTACCTTGTTTTTTAGAATGCTGGGCACCCATTTTAGATACTTTTTTAAATGATTTATTTATTTATTTTAGAAAGAGAAAGCACACACAAGTGGGAGGAGGGGTAGAGGAAGAGGATCTTCAAGTAGACTCCCCACTGAGCACAGAGCCCCATGCAGGGCTCCAGCTCATGACCCATGACATCATGACCTAGCTGACACCAAAAGTCATACATTTAATTGACTGAGCTACCCAGGTGCCCCTGGGCATGTATTTTAAAAATTACACCCAGTGCCTCTATATTGTCATCTTCTGCTTTTCAAATACATTTTTCAAGTTGTTTCTTTTCCATGAAGTCCTTTCAGGGACCTGCAACCTACCTTGATCAATTCCTTGATGTTGGAGCTCCTACAAACACCAAGTATTTTAGCATTCCACTATTTCCCAAATGGATTTTTACTCCTTAACTAATATCAGTAACAATTAGTTTAAAAAAAAAAAAAAACTAACAGAGCACTTAAAAGAGTTTACCATTTGAGAGTCCCTTGAAAAAATGCTGTCTAGATGATTTATCATGTCATTCAGTGACTTTAATTAGATTATACAGTACTTTTGGAATATATTGTTAAATGTAGGGAACTTAGATATAAGTAATGATTAAATGCTATTTGAAATTACATACATAATATTTTTTTCTAATTAAATTTGGTCTTCTTTACCAAAACATTTCTTCCTATCTCTGATTTTAATTGTGCTTATTTCTACCACAGAGACAGTAACAATATTAAAACAGTGGACAAAGTGAACACATAATATACCAGGTTCAGCATTAAAATATGGGAATGGCTTCTCTTAGACAAGTTTATCAACATTGATGTGAGAGTTTGCACAGATGAGGGGGCCTAGAGCATGAGTTTTCAAACTTGGCTACTCACTGGGATACCTAAAGAGCTCTAAGAATACTAATACCTGCATCTTAAACCCAAAGACCTCCATTGAATTGAACTAGCATATGGCTTCACAGTGGGATATTTAAAAGTTAACCAGATGACTCTCATGAGCAATTAGAAATAAAAACCATTGGTGAGAGGCTTTTTTTACATTTAGCATCCTCCCCCAATCACATTTTTCTCACTGTTTTGCTTTAGGAACATGCTGCCCAATTAGAGAGATTTAAGACCATTCATCTAAGCATTCCTTGTCACCAGTGGCACCCCTGGCATACATATACATGTAAGGATGATAAGATGGTATTATTTTGAAAATGATTTTCTGTAAATATCTTTGAAATTTTAGTAGACTGTAATCGTATCCACATACTCTAGGAAAAAAATGGTAATAACGAAAATGTCAACCTGGCAGGAAGCAGAGAGAGGAGAAAAAGAAAGAAAAGTCTATAGCTGTATTAACTATAGGTAAGAGTTACAGTTTTCGGCTATATATACCTGATTGATGGTACCCAAAACATCAGTGAAGCTGTTTACTTCTGATAAAAGCAGAGATATTATAGATTTTCTCAACAAGCTGCAACTTCCCAGGGTTACCAGACTCTGAGAGACATAATGCTGCACCTGAAACTAAAGATAAAAATGAGTAAATTTCTATTTTCTATCAAGTCAGGTCAAAATATATTTAGAGGGCAATTTCTAAGACTAAGATAAATTATGACTACAAAAATAATAAAATTTTGTACAGCGGTTAATATTTTGAAAGGTATGACAAAGTGCTGAAATGGAAGTTTTAGTTGAAGTATCAAAATAAATAATTATATTTAGGTGATGGACCATATACAGAATGAATAAAGAAGATAAGACTCTTAATCCCTTACCCACTAGATATAAGTACAGGGGTGTGTATGTGTGTGTGTGTGTGTGTAGTGAAAGAATGGAGTTTGAAGATGTCCTTTGGAATAGATATTGGTGCACTATGAATCCCGCCTCCACACTGGAGACAGGTGAGAAGGACTTCCTTGTTCTGTATAAGTCAAAAGAGAGGCACTTTAGAGAGAAAAGCAAAAATGCAGGACTCTAAATTTTCCTGTAGGGGCAGTAGAAAGTACTCACCACTAAATAAATGTAAAAGAACAATGGAAGACAATAAACTATATCCCATATAATTATTAGGAGAAAGGCCATTTGATTATTAATCACATTAAGGTATGTATAACTCATAGCTGGAACTTCATTAAACATGTCCCTTAATATATTTTAGAGAAAGGAAGCTTCAGAAATATCTTGAAACAAAGAAATAGCACCTATCTTGTCATGTCCTATAGATTAAAATCATATTGAGGAGACATTGCTTTTATATATAAAATGTCTAAATGACAATGCCAAATAATGCCATGTGAAAGTAGGAAATGTCACCTGTGTCCTTTAAGATAAACACTTAACATAGATACTTCTCAAATTGATATTTTAATAATATACTTTAAAAGTTAATCAATGACAATAACATAGTGAATACCTTACAGAATTCAACAGAAATTTCTATTATAAATCTTGATATGCACAACTCGTTCTTTTTTTTTTTTTTTTAAAGATTTTATTTGACAGAGAGAGATCACAAGTGGGCAGAGAGGCAAGCAGAGAGAGAGAGAGGAGGAAGCAGGCTACCTGCTGAGCAGAGAGCCCGATGCGGGCCTCGATCCCAGGACCCTGAGATCATGACCTGAGCTGAAGGCAGAGGCTTAACCCACTGAGCCACCCAGGTGCCCCAGCACAACTTGTTCTTAATAATAGTTTTCTAAGTCAGCTTGTCAACTCAATCCTAAAACCACATCAGTTTATTACCATAGGAAATCAGAGTTATTTATCATTGTTGTTTCTCAGTAATGTCACTGGCTAGGACTCACACCCTCTGTAATTCTCCCGTGTCACTTTTTTGCAGATTGTTTACATTTTTGTTTGTACCTGAAAAAAAGAATACCCTTATCTAAGCTCTGAAAAAAAATTCTGTTGGCTATTTCACTGATGCTCTAGTTGTTTACTTCCTTTCTTAATATTTAAGGCTTTAGGAGATAAAGAAAAAAATTCACAGTAAAATAAAAGTTACTTTAGAAAATGACAATAAGGGGCGCCTGGGTGGCTCAGTGGGTTAAAGCCTCTGTCTTTTTTTTTTTTTTTAATATTTTATTTATTTATTTGACAGACAGAGATCACAAGTAGGCAGAGAGGCAGGCAGAGAGAGAGGAGGAAGCCGGCTCCCCGCGGAGCAGAGAGCCCGATGCAGGGCTCGATCCCAGGACCCTAGGATCATGACCTGAACCGAAGGCAGCAGCTTAACCCACTGAGCCACCCAGGCGCCCCTAAAGCCTCTGTCTTCAGCTCAGGTTATGATCTCAGGGTCCTGGGATCGAGCCCCGCCTCAGGCTCTATGTTCAGTGGGAAGCCTGGTTCCCTCTCACTCTCTGCCTGCCATTCTGCCTACTTTTGATCTCTCTGTCAAATGAATAAATAAAATCTTAAAAAAAAAAAAAAAGAAAGTGAGAATAAATTTATTAGGGTAGTCATAGGGTTAGGTCTGTGGACTGTGGACTGCTAACACTGCCTGAGCCAAACCCTAGCTCCACTGCCTATTAACTTGTACTAGCAAGTTACTTAACTTTTTATATCTAAGCTACCACATCTGCAAAATAATGATTGTGATGGCACCCACTTCAGTTGTTGTATATATGAAGTTAGATAGTAAAAATGGTTAACATAGCGCCAGGTACCCAGGAAGTGATCAATAATTGTTACATGTTAATATAATATAGGTCGATAACAGAAAAGCTTTGAAGGTTACAGAAGTTTAATTTATTGAACCCTGAAAAGTTAAATACTAAAAATAAAATCTGTTTTTCTAGAGTTAATACAATCCTATTAGAGAACACTGCTCAGAAGAGAAGTTCATCATAAAGACCTTTTCCATAATCTAGATAGGAATTGTTACAGTCTCCCCAATATGACTGAAGTTCATAAGAGAACAAAGACTAAGTATATAGCTGTTAAGGTAATTTAAATTCTGTGAACATTTTTATAAAAATGGTTTCTAGTCTTCCTTACACTTTAATTGACACTTGCCCTTTTGTAAATAGAGTGGAACTTTTGAAAGAGGCTGGCATGGAAACCAGGGCTTACAGGGTTATAGGAGAGTCTACAGTGGTGAAAACAACACATGTGCCATCTTTTTCTACTCTAGCCCATCTTCCTGTATTGCAGGGAATGGAAGTTAGAAATAACTTTCCCCAGATTCCTGTGAAGTTTGAATTTTGGATATTATTTGAGTTCTGCTAATCAGAGGTACTCATCTGAGACCCTGATTTAGAAGTGCATTATGGAAGAAGAGAAACAGGGCAAAGGCCATGCATTCTGTTGGTGCAGATTATGGCAGAGGTGACACGGTTCAGACTTATCATGTAACTGGTGTAGAGGCTCCCTATGTTTGCAAGTTCTTTTTTTTTTAATAACTTTTTTAAAATTTTTAATTTATTTGACAGAGAGAGATCAGAAGTTGACAGAGAGAGATCAGAAGTAGGCAGAGAGGCAGGCAGAGAGAGAGAGAGAGAGAGCGAGAGGAGGAAGCAGGCTCCCTGCTGAGCAGAGAGCCCTATGCGGGACTCAATCCCAGGACCCTGAGATTGTGACCTGAGCTGAAGGCAGAAGCTTCACCCACTGAGCCACCCAGGCACCCTGCAAGTTCTTAATCCTGGCAGAAGCAGTAGGACCTTGATGGCCCAGTAGTTTAGGAAGTCATTCCTATAAACTCAGCCTCCTCAAATTCCTATAAAAGCCAAACCAAATGTGCTTTGATCTACATCTACATATTCCCCTGTAGTATTCATAGAGCCCAGTGCTGACATTTCAGTCTTGAAATATGCAAAGGTGGAAATTCCTACCACATGCCCAACATATTTGCTATGTGACCTGTGTTGAAGACAGAAAGATCTTGGATAATGGCAGTGAATTACCACAAACTTCATTAGGGTGTTTCTACTTCAGTGAAGTTTCTATTTCAGTTTCTATTTCAGTTGCAGTTCCTTTCCTGGCAGTCAACACTGCTTCTGATATTTGTTAGGTATTAATCTGGGAATTTTTTTTTTTTTTTTTTTTTTACTATTCCAATGAGGATAAAATGAAGCAGTTTGCATGCACCTCGGGGTCATCATTATACTTCTGCCCTATTTAAGGCCATGTCAGTTTGCTGGCTCTGTGTCATTATTTCATTGAATTTGGATCATTGGAATATTCTACAGGACATCATGCTGGTGTACTGTATGGATATCATGCTGATATGGCAATTGTTTTAAAGGCCCTAGTAAAATACATACATTAGAAGAAAGTAAACCCCAGGATTCGGGTACCTGATACAGTTGGGACATTCTGGATCTGATGAATGTTGAAATGCCCCTTCCAAAGTGAAACACAAGTTGCCTTAGTATGTATTTTCTATCAGTAATAAAAATATATAATACCTGATGGGCATTTATGGATATTTGAGGCAACATATATTCATTTCAGTTTACCACCTGGATGCACATACTGGGTAAATCATGTCTAAGCATTGAGAAGAGCCCAGAGTTGAATAAAGAGCTCTAGCTGGTCAAAGTGGAGTTAAAGGCAACTCTGCCACTTGGACCTTAAGACCGATAATACCCGATGTTCTTGGAACTAATCAATAATTGTATGAAGCCTGTTGTTGATCCTAATAATAAAGTCACAAAGAAAAACCCTTGGTTTGGGAAGAAAGTCAAAACTTTCTTCCATATATATATACATATATATGCAAGAAATATATATATATATACAAATATATATATACACAAATAAATATACTATATTATATATTTAATATTTACACATTTATATAAACATAAACATAAATATATATTTAATAATATACTTGTGTATATATAACCATACAAATATATTTTACACAATTATATGATTTTACACACACACACACACACACACACACACACAAAACCTCATTTGGCCTACTAGAGAATAAATGACTGCCTCATTATGGGATACCAAGTGATTATATGCCCAAAGCTGCTCATTTGAACAGTGTTACCTAAAGTCAGGTATACACAGCAATACTCCATCATCAAGTAGCTATAATATATATAATGTGTGATCGAGCTGGAAATATAAGTAGAAGCACTGCTTGAGCAGTTAGTTCCACCTAGAATACCACCCCTTTTGTGGTTGAGTTATAGGAAATTTATGTTCTAAGCCTATGACCAATATATTATGTTCTTTCTCTGATAGCCAGAACATTTGAATTCAGGAACCAAGGTATGAAAGAGACTGGGAACTCTTAATATTACATCTAATGATTCACTCACTGGTAAAGTATTCTTCACCCCTTGTGACATCGGATTCTGGTTTGAGGTCAACAACTTTCATGAACTAGAGGTTGAAATTTCCACCGGGTTATATGGAGTTTTTTTTTTTTTTTTTTTTTTTTTTTGCTCTCTCTCTTTTTTTTTTTTAATTTCTTTTCAGCATAACAGTATTCATTGTTTTTGCACCACACCCAGTGCTCCATGCAGTACGTGCCCTCCTTAATACCCACCACCTGGCTCCCCCAA